TAAACATACCAAAAGAGCACAACAGAAACTCAACCAGTTTATCTTGTTCATTAGAAGCCCGAGCTGCCAGAACCAAATTCTCAAGAATACATCATTCCATCTCTCTATTAAAGCTTAATAATTAACGAATTAAAAAATTATTACACTGAGGGACCCATGATGATTTCATTTTACATCAAAATGGGTAATTCCGTTTTTCCCCACTACATTCTCCTTACTGCCATATTTTATCCAAGACCCAAGAGAAGGAAGTTCCAGTGTTCACCCATTTAAATAACATAGGTTTACACTGGGGCGAGAAGCCCTGAATCAGAAACTTTCCAATCTGTTAATGGCCCGTATTGTTAAGTACAATCCTAGCTTACTGAATTTATCAGCAGAGGGATGGATTCCTAGGTATTAGCTGGGAATCCGTACTCCAACACTGGGTCTTCCTCAGCTCTTCTCCGGTTCTTTCAGATTCTTACTGTATTCCAGTGGGACTCAACTGAATTGCTCATAGTGAGCCACATTTTAACTACCCATCATTCAAAAGGGCCACATTTACTTCCGCCCCTGATGGCAGGCCTGCAGCCATTCCTCTGGCAGCAGCTATTCCAAGACAGGAACCACCTGCCAACCACCAGGCAAAGATCTTGTCCACTTTCCTGAAACACAGGATGGGAGCCATGTTATGGGAAACTACTTAGAAGATCCAAAGGTGTCATGTCAAGAACCACATGTGGATCTTGAGCCATAGAATGAGTATCTCTGCTATAACCAGAGGCACCAAGCAGAGAGATAAAACTTAGTATTCCCCCAACGTTCTAGCTATTTCCATATTTTCACTTCGTACAAAGCAAAATTAAGGAAATATGAGGAGAAAAATTAATCAGGCTGCAATCCTCCAGGTTTGTTTCAGAGGGCCACTGGCTTTAGTAAGCCAGTGGTTTGGTATTGTAGACATTCTTTTGTTCAGTGTTAACTTAAAACGAAGAGAAATTTGACATGAAACAGTGTTCAATGGCATGGGCATGAACTTGGAAGAGTATGATTAACCAAAGCTTTGACTTTGTTTGTAATTTTAAGGTTTATTAATTAAAGACTGAAAATATTTTTAATGGCACCCTATAGCTTTTGTCTTCCGCAGATATGATAAAGGAACTGTCTGTCAGATTCCTCTTTTCAGGAATAAATTGTGTTCCAAGTTCTTTTTTACGGCTGTCTTAGATGACAATTACCCACAGGGCTTTTACAATGCAGTCACTGATTTAATTAACCTTTGCCATAAATGTGAGCTAACTCTACAAAGGCTAATATTTCTATTGCTTCAACTCCCTAACAATCCCAAAACATTACATGACAACTGGAAAAGCTGATTGTTATTCCTAAGGCACACAGCGGCCACTTATCTTGACTTTTATTTCAAACGAAAGTGAATCTCGTCTTCAGTAATAGGAAAGCAACATAAAAAATGCATAACTCAAAACTGAGCACATTTTTATCACTCTTGGATTTTGAACAATAGGTTAGGGATATCTAAAATGTTGTATTGACAAATATGCTTGGGATTGAACTAATAGTTTTTGTGTGTAAAGTGCCATCAAGTCACAACTGACTTATGGTGACTCCAGCATAGGGCTTTCAAGGCAAGTGAGAAGCAGAGGTGGTTTGCCATCGCCCTCCTCTGCAGTCTTCCTTGGAGGTTTCCCATCCAAGTCCTAATCAGGGCTGACCGTGGTTAGCATCCCAGATCTGATGAGACTGGGCTGTATCATGCCACCTTCCCTCCTGACTAATAGCTTACCCACACAAATATTACTAATCAACAAGAAACAGAACCCGCAATACTTGCGGGGGGGGGAGTATTCCCCGTGGCTCCCGGGTGGCTGGCCTGCTGAAGCAGCAGGAGCTCTGTATGAAGGAGGAGGAGGCAGCCTTAATGAGCCCAGCAGGGGGTCGGCTGGGCTCACCAAGGCTTCTCCCCCCCACTGCCAACAGCAGCAACAGTGGTGAGCCCTATGCAGCTCCCAGCTACCAGGCCCACCAGGCTTCTCCTCCTCCTGACAGCAGCAACAGCCATGGCTCCCAGCCATCAGCCCACCAAGGCTTCTTTCCCCGCTGCCGCCAAGGCTTCTCCCCCCTGCCGCTGTCGCTGACAGCAGCAATAGCAGTGAGCCCCGAGTGGCTTCAAGCCGTCAGGCCACCAGGCTTCCTTCCCCCCCCCAACAGCAGCAACAGCTGCAGCTCCCAGCCGCTGGCTCACCAAGACTTCCCCTCTTGCCGATGTTCCCAGCGTTAAGTGCGTTCTCTGCGCAGGGAACATTCTTTTACTTTTGGGGGGGATTTGAGTATTCCCCATATAGTTTTTTCAACATTTCAGATTTTTCTGCACACCTGGAGAGTGCCCAAAGAGTGCAGGAAAATCTGCTTACCCTCCATGTGCTCCTGATGTGCGGATTTAGATATTCACACTGAGGGGGCATCTTGGCTATTAGATATATAGATTCTAATGTGTAACCAGGGCTGGCTCGCCCGCTAGGCAAACTAGGCCTTTGCCTAGAGTGCGAGCCGGCTGTTAGGGCGTGGGAGGAGAGGCAGGGGCACCGCGCAGCCCGCAGGAGTGCCCTCCATTGAGCCAGGCACCGCGACCCACAGTGACACCACCAGCAGCAGGAGGAGGTAACATGTGTGGGGGGTTTTCGCTTTTCCGGAGACTGTGAGGAGTGCCGGCCCTTGCCCGGCTCTGCTGGCTACAGGAGGAGGACGACGCGTGGTGGTGTGGGCAGGGCGCGGTGCTGTAGCTGGCTGGCGGAGGAATAAGCGAGGGGGTGGAGGTGGTGGGGCCACCTCTCCCTGGGTCACACCAGAGCCTCAGGTGGGCAATGATGCACCTGTGCTGAGAAGAGGAGGAAGAGCCGTGCAGGCCCTCCCTCCCTCCCATGCGCCCGAGCGGCTGGGCCAGATTGAGGGGCGGCTGCAGCGGGGGGCGCCCACCGATTTTGCTGGGACGGTGTCCAGGCCCCACCGGGAGGTTGGCATCTGTGCTCACCTAGAGGGCAGGACAACTTTGGGCTGGCCCTGTGTGTAACGTGAGAGAAGGGGACTCAATGGGGAAATCACATCTCTTCATTGATCTTCCATGAGGGCCTCTCCTCTGGTATCAGAATGGTAAACCTCTCCTGTGACCACTAAGATATGAATCTTACAGGTAAGTGGAATTTAATAAATGCCTAAGAATCAGCATTATTAAGGTATTTCCAGACTACCTGAGGACCTGAGGTTTGGTTCATACAGAGTCCAAGACTGAAACAAACAATAGATCTGAGAGAGCTGAAGGTGGTACAACTGAGCCTCTCTTACTTGTAGTGCTTCCCTACCCATCCATCCAAGCAACATGACAATTTCTGTGCTCCACTCCTAGACATTTCTTCAACAGCAGGCCTGATGAATGCATTTGGAAGTGCCTGTTTTCACAGGCAGTTTGATTCCCTCAAGTACCTCCCTCTAAAGTCTGGATTAAGTGGGTCAATGTTTTAATTTTGTCTGCCTAACCTTATATTTTATTCATGCTTTGGGAAGCTCAAACAGGTGGTTTTCTTTTCTTTTTAATAATTTGTTAAAACATTAAGACGTTGTGTACAATGTTTTGGGAATCTGTGTCTACTGGGTGGAAAACTGGTTTTCCACACTGTGTTCATTCTTTTTGACATATTTGATACACTGAAAGTCAAGGTAAACTTATTTGGACTGGAAAGTGAGGGCAAGAGACACCCACCGCTTCTATTCCTTATACAAATATATTAGGCTTGTCCAAAGCATATCAGCATGATCCAGTCTGTGACCAGTTACACACTTCCTAAGACTGGCCCAAAGATCTTAATGTTAAATAAAGGCAACAGGAATACATGGATGACACCTGAAAATACTCAAAATTATTACACAACCCACTAGTTCATGCTATTTTGGTGGCAAAATGGACACTGTTTGTTTAGTTTCTGGCTTTAAAACATAGACACTTTTTGAATTTCACTCTCTAAGATTAAGGACTAAGATAACTGCTTTTTTAAAAAATGAAAGCCACAGTTCTTACAGATGATGTAGGCAACCAGATACCGAATTTATAAAACCCCATAAATTGAAAGTTGATTAGCTTGAGGTTTATGCATTAGCTAAAGATAACAGCTCCTTTTCAGGCATAGCTGAGCACAAAAGCTTTCCCAGAGCTTCCCCCCCTTAAAAAAAAAAAAAAAAGCTGATGAGGAAGACTCCTCCTCCCCAATATACATAAATGGTTGAGGGGATCTAGGGATCCAGTGGCTAGCACACATAACTTGATATTTGCCGATTTCCGGATCAAAGCTGTCATCCTGTGTGGAATGACCTCAGCTCTTCATGCAGACTATCTCTATATATCATCCTACAAACTGCAGCAGTCTCTGCAAGGGTGTGGAAGACACTCTCAAGCTCACTTCTACAAATGGGCTACTTCTTGCAAATACCAATATGAATTAAAATCAGGGCTCTTTATGTAGCAGGAGCTCCTTTGCATATTAGGCGGCACACCCCTAATGTAAACCAATCCTCCAAGAGCTTACAGTAGCCCCTGTAAGAAGAGCTTGGTAAGCTCTTGGAGGATTGGCTACATTAGGGGTGTGTCACCTAATATGCAAAGGAGTTCCTGCTACAAAAAAAGCCCATTCCCAGGAGACTTCTGTAATTTTGTAGGCTCAAACCCCACACTTTTTGGGTAGTGGTTAAAATTTATCTTCATCATAATGTTCTTAACATTAACTCTGGGGAAAAAAAGAAACAAGACTGTTCAAAGCCCCCTCCCCCAAATGCAAGAATACAAGGTATCTTCCCTGCTCTGATATATTCCATGGACTACTACATGGAAGTTCATCTTTTATTCTAATCAACACATTATGCAGGTGTATTTTTTTCTATAAATTTAACCAGTTATGAATGCACACCCATATATACACCAACAACCAGCCAGAGATCATAAAACATCTTACCTTACAGGCAGTGTTCTATCTCCTTTCCTTCTGTCCATCTCTCTCTGGGGAACAGGATACCAACGAAAATTAAGTTTCCAGTTAAATCCTCCGTAAGTCATGTCTGACCCAGCCATATACTCAAAAGTGTCATCACTGATCACATCAATGATTGGGCAAACTACAATCTTCCTAGAAAATAAAAAAGTACACATGAATATATAAATTTTCATTCCATGAAAAACTCTGGCTCCAATCCAAATATACATCTGTTCAGGGCTGAGTACGTGCAACACATTCATTCAAAGGAACAATACGAGGCAGGGGACTAACAATGCAACCCTAAGAACACTTTCCTGGGAGTAAGCCCCACTGAAAAGACTTGAGTAGGATCATGACTAGACCTATTTAGGATTGCTCTCTAATTCCAACCAGGTCCTCCGTACCATTTCTCGTCCCAAAAATAACTGTTACTTTTTTCATGCATGAAGCTCTGGCTCTAAAACAAAGAGAAAAGCAGAGAGTACAGAACTCATTTGCATATATGGTTCCTCACCCAGCTAGGGATATATGGGCAGAAGTTTGCTTCCACATGCAGATGACTAAATTTAAGTGAATATGAACATTTTGAAGACCTATGTTCCATTTATTTCGATGAGATGTAAAAATACTTTAGTTTCTCTGCTTTCCTCCACCCCTTTGATTTAAATGTGATTTAACTTAGTACGGGTGGGCAGGTATATACAGATAATGGAACAAGCTGTACAAGATTCATCTTTTTTGTTGTCTATCTTGATTTTAATTTCAGCTGAATCAGTTTGGACAGAACTTGTAATAATTTTTCAAGTGAAAGTATCAGAAAACAATGAGATGCATGCATCTTGGTTGTCTCTAAGTAACCTAATGAGAAACAAACTAGGGAAACTGACTGTGTATAATTCATATTTAAAAAATAAAAACAAAGATACCAAATTAGTTTGACAACACAATTAATGGCTAGTTGCTATAACAACAGCAACAACAAAACATTGCAGCTTGGACACAAAGATCTCTTGCATGAATAGACAGCACATCCACAAGACCTTTCTGACCCTGTTTTGGTGCAGCTCTTTGCCCTCCGTAAAAAGCTGATTCCAAAATTTGGGGTAGGCTCTGGAGCAGCAGGCAATATGGCATGGGAAAAAGTGCAACCAATGGGGGAGGCAGTGACTTCTGTACAAGAACCTTTGGCTCTAAACAAGTTAATAGCAGAAGCAACATCATTCAAAAAAACTAGTTTTCATTTCAAAAGCTAAACATTAGCACTGTTGCCCAATTAGCAAAGCTGAAGGATCACATGTCATAATCAATTAGATCAGCACATATTTATGAACAAAACACTGGATTGCATTCAAGTCACTTCTGCCCATGAAAGGAATCGGTCCTGTAATTCCTAGGAGTGTTCATTCTGAAATTCCCAAGCCAAAAATATATACAAACAATGCTGTTTAGGGTTGTTATCGTGATTTTCTGGAAAGGTAACACAAATCTGGGATTCTTAGACATTATGGAACTCCATCCACACCCCGAAAAATCATTGTTGTTTTTCATGTTCAGATGCAGCAGCAGGCATCTTGTTTTTGATTTTCCTTATTCCCCAGGCAACCATTAGATCCTTGCAAGGGATCACGACGTGAGTGCCCCCAGCCAAGCACTTTTGGAAACAAGCCCCTTCCTACTAGGCGTTCTTTAGGATCAGGAAAAAGGTTGGGGGGAAACCGAAAGCACCCTCCTCCACCCGTGGCACCCCCTGGTCTACAAAATCAGCATCTGCAGATTTAAAGAGATATTTTTGGAGCTGACATGTGACTATCAAAGTGATGAATCCAGAGACGTCCACACTTTAGCCCCTGCCACTGCCACTGCCACCTCCAGGAACTCCTTAAATAGTAGTAGAACTATTTACTAATTAAGGTATCCCTACAGTGGATGCCTAGAGTGAAGACGTGTCTTATAGCTACTGGATGATTGATTCGTCACATGCAATCTCTTGCACACACAAATCTGAATAACTGGTAATGTCCTACCCAAAAATTAGCAACCGCAGTAACGGTCCTCCCAACAACCCCGAATCCTGGATCTGAAATTATAACAATTCCCCCCCCCCTCAGAGAACACCTCTAGTAATTTTCATGGATTAGTCAACCACGTTCTTTGTGCAGGTAAGGAACAGACACATGCAGTTGCATCGGGAACAGTGAGATAAGCAAAACCCCTTTCAATGATTAAAATTCTCTGGATCCCAACCAATAGAGCTGAAGGTGGAAGAAAAACATATTTATGTTTTCTTTAAAATTGTACATATTATTTACCTATTTTGCATGTACATGTTTCAGCAGATGCCAGTCAACAGGCATCTCCCTTCTGAGTGATCAAGAAACAGGAAGGTCTCCAAGGGTACGTTCAGATGGCTCTTTAGATCCGAGCGAGGCCCGGGTGCCTCATGCTGATTTAAATGTAATGTCCAGACATCAATCTGAGAAACATCCATCTTCCATGAGCATCCCGTTTTGCCACGCTTCGGAGCTGTACTAAAAAGATACTACTTTAAATCTGGAGTTTTCGGTTCCAACAAGCCACTTGCAGACTTTCCCCCATCTGGTCGTTTCAGCGCACAATTAAAAATGGTGTCTGTTCAGGATGGTCTGACGTTAGACCATCTCGTACAGGCACCATTAAAAAAAAAATCTTGATTCTGTGCATGCACCTATGCGCATGTGCAAAAAGTTAAAAACAAAAACAAAACACTGCGAGTGCCTCCTTCAGTGGACACCGTCTAGACAATCCACAGCGGAAGCAGTGCACAGTAAGGCAATTCCCCCGGGGGATGTCTGGTCGTGCGAGGACGGATTAAAAAGATTGGGAACAAATGTGAGCCGGCATAATGGCGGGATTAGCTGCCCATCTGAACGCACCCCAAGACAGTGTGTGGCATCTGAATTTTCTGTAGCCCCCCCCCATTAACTATTTTTTAAAAAAATCTGCCCTTTCGTTAGTTGTGAGCACTTTTATAATGAACCAAGAGCTTTTTTGATGTTGATTAATCAAACAATTTAATCAGCTAAATGTTGAAGTCCTACAAAAAATGCACATGAATTTGTCCCAGAATAAAATCTTCCAGTTCTCTTCAATGAAGATAAATGCAATCTCAGGTTCACACATCACATTTTTGCACTGAAATAAATTTCAATGGCCAAGGCCAACATGGTGCCCATTGGCACCATTGTGCCCACCAACACCTTCCTAGGTGCCTACCAAGTGATTTTAGAAAATGGGTAGGGTCATGTGGAGACTTGCCCAGTAAAGTTTCTTATTGGCCACTGAATCTGATCAGCTATGCAGATTAAAATATTTTTCCCCCAGTGGCAGTTGCCATCACAGTGCTTGTTTTATTCTCTATCACTTCTCTCTCCCAGTGTATTTTCAGTTCCCCATCTTCTCCCCGGCATTTGTGCTTCCTCTGTGTATGCGGCTCCACCTCCTGGGGTGGTGCTTTTTGCAGCTGCACCCAGCATCCTGTGTCAGAATTCCAAAGGCGCCCACAGGCTTAGAAGGTTGCAGACCCCTAGGCTAAGTTCTGAGACTGAGAAAAGAGTAATTAACAATAAACAAGCTTGCAATTAAAGCTCTGTTGATGGATACTGCCATAATACAAGTGCAGGACAACATCACTTCTGAATTCTCACCTGTCTTCCTTTATTCTTGCCAAGAGGGGCTCCAGCCAGCCTAAAGTGCATTCACAGTGCGCATCCAGGAAAGTTATGACCTGCCCCTTAGAAGCCGCTGCTCCTCTAAGCCGAGCTCGAATCAGGCCTGACCGTTGCTCCATTCTAATAATTTTTACTGGCACTTGCAAATTTTTCACATAATTCTCTAATGAGGCCTTCAGAAAATCTGCCGAAGGCAATTAAGAAAAAAAATGCAACAAAGGATTTGTTTAAGCTAAATTCAGAACCCACCAGAATACAGAATACAATCACACAGTTATGATGCCAATGATGGTTGCTGAAAGGGTAACTTCTTTTACTAGACTTTAACAAATATACAAAAGGTCAAAAGCTTCTGAACTGGGAGACAAAAAAAGAAATATAATGAGGCATTTTTTCAAGTTCACAGAATTAATTTGCCAGAGTGCAGGAGCACCGTGTCACTTTTTGACCTCCTGTATTGAAGACAGCATCCGTTTATTTCACGTATCCCTAAAAAGAGCACCAGGGCCAAAGATGGTAGTTTTATGAAGGTGATGACAAAGTGAAGAATCCTTACATAGGTTATCCTGTGCACAGACAGGCATGCATGCATGCACAAAGAAATGCATAGACAGAAGGCAGGAACCTAGACCTCTCCTTCCCAACATTTAAGAGTATAACATGAGGGATCTTTCTAATGGAAGAGAAACAACATCCCTGGTGCAGCAGAAGAACAAAATGTGCAGTGTCAATTATTCCTCCTGACATAAACCCAGCAGAGAAGAACCATCCTCTGGATGGCTGAGAATAGCCCACCTCAGGAAGACTGGAGCTCTTTTAAATACTAGTTCTCACTATCTGTCTCCCTCACCTGAAGCAGCACACATTTCTCATTGTTCTGAAAGCTTGCAAAATCTGAGTCCCTGCACTAGACTCTCCAAAGAAACAACTTTTAGTAGCCAGCTTTACTGTTGCATTTTTTTATATACCTAAAGAAGTAATCTCTATTTCAGCCTCTATTCTTGTCACGACAGAGCCAGGGGGCCGGGCAGAGAGGGAGAATTTACAGTTCAGTCCGTGAGTCAAAGCCAGAAAGATCAAAAACAAGCAGAGCCAGTGTCCCAATACACAAAGCCAAGCTGTAGTCAGAGCGTTACCAAGGGTCAGAGTCCAGAGAAGTGAGTGTCGAATGTCAGGGTGCAGAGCCGAGGATCAAGAGCCAGAGAGTCGTCAAAACGTGGACTGGATTCAGGAACTGGGAAGTCAGTCAGTACGGGATCTCAGGAGGTGCAGAGCTTCTGGTCCGAAGGACAAGTTTGCCAGCATGATTTGCCAGCAGTCAGTGACCTGTTCAAATAGTGTGCTGGGTCGTTAACTCATTAGCACTGCCTTGCAAAGTCCTTGATTCTGTTAGAACTCCAGGCTCATTGTTCTCCGACCATGCAAGCGTGCCTCCTTGCGTCTGGTTGCCAAGTCCGGGCATCTCTGATTCCTCAGCTGGTCGACAGGTGGCGGAGAATCGGGTGGCGTACTGCTGGGGCCAGGCACTGCCTGATCGGCTTCAGGTGCAAGCTTTTCCTGGGGTTTGGTATTCATCCTCTCCAGCACTTAGGTTTGGCAAGGACTCTCATGCCTCTGATGATGTTAAAGGCACGGAGTCCTCCGTTTCAGAGCTCCCAGGTGCCGGATCGGGGGTAGGCATGACACTTCTGCATTTTTTTAAAAAAATTGCTTTTAAATCTCTACACAACATCCTTAGGACAAATCATTCATAGTTTTGGGACTGGCTGTCATCAATATGCCAATGACAACTAGCTCGATTGAAATTTCCTGGATAGAGGTAAGAGGTCCTGAATCTCTGTCTGGCTGTTGTGGTTAATTGGCTAAGAGCAGGGGGCTTTTGGGGCCGGAGCGCGCCGGAGTGCCGCTGTGGCAGCCCAGGAGCTGGCACAAATGGTGGCGGCGGCAAGCCCTGCCCCTAGCTCCCCGTGCCAAAGTGCTGTGGCCTGGGGGAGGCCCGAAGAGTCCCACATCCAGCTTCCCCAGGCTGTGGATGGGGGAAGGCCCTGAGAGCCCCACCGCAGGGTCCCTCGGACCCACACAGAAGCGCTGTGGCTCGGGGATGTCCGGAGAGCCCCACAGCCGGCTTCCTTGGCCCATGCCGAAGCAGTAAGTAAGGGATCCGTGGGGGTGGGGGTGGCGGGGGCTGGATGGGGGTGGGAGAGCCTCTTTGCCAGCTTTCCCTCCTTTCCTTTTCTTTCCCTCCTTCCCTCTTTCTTTCCTTCTCTCTCTTTCTTTCCCTCCTCTTTCTTTCCCTCTTTCCTTCTCTCTTTTTATCCCCTCTTTCCTTCTTTCTTTCCTTCTCTCTACTCTCTCTCTTTCCTTCCCTCTTTCCTCCTTCTGAGGCCCAACTTTAGTGAGAAGGGGTTTAAACTTTAAACCCCTTCTCTCTTCGCTCCCCCCCCCACAGGCCAGCTGGGGAAGGGAAGGGGAGGGTTTTAAATATGCCTTCCCCCCTTTTGCTTCCCCTTCTGACATCACTTCCGGTGATGTCAGGGGGCGTGGCATATGCTAATATCATAGTAGCTCATTAGCATATCACATGCTAATGAGCTCCTACAGCTCTTTTTCTATGAAATGACCCCTGGCTAAGAGGAAACAAACTGAAACTCAACTCTTGAAAAGCAGCGGTAATGTTGGCTGGGAAGGTGAAGATCTTGAAGGACACTGTGCTACCAACTTTTGATGGGGTTCAGCTAACCCTTGCTGACTCAGTTAATACTAAAGCCAACATTACAGCTGGAGAAGCAAGTTAATACAGCTGTAAAAAAAGAAACTTTCTTCCAACTCAATCTAGCCTTGAAGATGGTCCCCTACCTTGATACAGTTGATCTAGCCACCTGGATCCATTCCATAGTGGCATCAAGACCAAACTACTGTAATGCACTTTACATTGGTATCCCTTAAAAATCAACTCAAAGGCTCCAGTTGGTGCAGAATACCACAGCTCAGCTATTATTAGGAGCTAGAGGGAGCATGCATATCACTCCCATTCTGCAGTCACTCCACTAGCCAGCCATCAGTTACTGGACTCAATTTAAAGTATTGGCTACCTCATACAAAGCCCTTCATGCCCTCTGCCTGCCATATCTACAGGATCAGCTCTCTCTCATGCTTTGCTATGACAGCTTCACTCACTTGAGCGGGGCCTTTTGTAGGTGCCAATCTGAAAACTGGCAATATCAGCAACTGCTTATACTTGTCCATTCTCCACTGTGGCCCCCATCTTATGGAATAGCCTGCCTAGGTCAGGAAGGATTCTGCTGTCCTGGCTTTCCACAAACTATTCAAAACTGAATTATTCAAACTGAATTGTTCTACACAGTTAACAGGGCTGTACTGTAACAAAAAGGTTCAGAACGATACTTTGGTAAAGAGTTAGAGACTTAAATCTATACCACTATGTTTAGTTTGTACTATCTGTTGCTATAAGTAGGATCCTACTATGTGATTTTTGCATCATTTATGTCATGTCGATACTTATGCTTTGCTTCAGTTCTGTTTCAGGTTTCTGCTTGGTTCTAGATTTCTACAAACCAAACCCTGTTGCTTTGCTTACTAGATGTCCCATTTTCCTAACTGTATTGTCTTACTCTGTGTAATCCACCTTGAGTCCCACTGAAAAAGGGAGACTATAAATAATATAAATAAATGAAAAACAAATAAACATTTTTTTGCATATTAACTGCTGTTTTTGGGGAAATAATGCATTATGAACAAGAAACAGAAAAAAACAGAGATTTTCAAGATAGGAATGTAGGAAAACCCTTTAATCTATCAAAATGCCACAATATTCTGAAAGTATTACTTATTTTCTAATCATACTGGCAACTCTGTTTATCCATACCTCTTTCGCTGGCATCATCTACTAAAATGATTTCAGAAAGCAGATAGTGTGGCGACCGATTTATAACACTGTAAATAGTTCGAAGTAAAGTGCTCCAGGCTTCATTATGAAATACTATAACCACACTTGTGTTTGGTAATTCGTCAGGGTAGACTTTTGTCTTGCATCTGTCAAAGACAAAAAAAGGAGGCTAATTTATTCAGAAATTCATTCTGTGGCACTAAATAATGACATAGAAGTTAATCAGGTTCTAGAAAGCAGGCCCCAAGGTTGCTGTATTGAAAGTGGAATGAGAGAAGAATATTAATCTCCTCAATCTAGCAAGGGATATTCATAGAGGTAATGAATGGGTCTATGCTGTGGCTAACAGGGACATTAGTATTAAGTCCCATAAAATGTACCTCCTTAAGGTATTTTACTACTGAGAGTAATAAGAATCAATATTTTACAATACCAAATGAAAAAAGTCAACAGCATCAAAACTGTGCAAAGCAAGAGAGACAGAATAAATGGAGATGTAAATTTCCCATGGGAAGCTGCCTCTCATTTATACAGTGTACCTGTACAACACACACACACACACACACACACACACACAGAGAGAGAGAGAGAGAGAGAGAGAGAGAGAGAGAGAGAGAGAGAGAGAGCATTACTGTCTTCCTAACTTCCTAGTGAAGGCAGGATTAAACTTCCTTGAGGTTTGATTGATGTGGCTTTGAAGGAGGCCCAAAAGATCTAAGCCAAACAAATCAAATAAGCTTCTGGAGTGACATTATAGAACAGGGTAAACTACTCAGGATATAATTCTGATTACCACAAAAAGAGAGAACAAAAGTGGGCCCTCAGAGGGCAGGGATAAGCTTGTGACACTGCAAGGAAATTATCAGCACCTCCAGATAGTTAAAGAACCATTTGAAAAAAATCCTATAGAAATCAACTGCTGTTAATTTCAATTTCAGTAGGATGGCCCAGGCTAGTCTGTCACATCTCAGAAGCTAAGCAGGGTTGGCCCTGTGGTTAGTACTTGGATGGGAGACCACCACCAGCAAGGATGACCTAAGTTGCTATGCAGATGAAAGCAATGGCAAACCACCTTTGTTAATCTCTTGCCTTGAAAACCAACAAGGTCAACATAAAACCACCAGTGACTTGACGGCACTTTTCACCATCCATACTCATTGAGGCTTGAGTTAATGCCACCCATCCACAGGGAGAGCTTCCCTAGATCAACTGGTTCTCAAGCTCCCCTAATTGAATGGGGCTTCAATGTTACAAAATACCAGATCCCAGTTGTGAACCTATTCTGCTCTAATCCTCATTGGCAGGAGCCTCAGCAGGGAAAAATACAGGCTAATCAACATTGACAATTGACAGGGATGACTACAGGAACAACAGAACACTAAACCAGAATTAACCATTTTAAGCATATCTGAATGATACTTATTGGCTGATCAACAATCTAGATTCTGTATTGCCGAAGAATGTGTAAAAAAAAAATGACATGAGAAGGAAGAACTAATACCACATGTTTTATTCACCTTAATAACCCACACACATTGGGAAGCTCTATAATCCTTCAAACAAACAGACAGCATCTCTTCCTAGTTTATGCATTCAATGCTGCTCAACTGTAGACTTAGGTTACATCCAAGATGCACTAGACTTTCTTAGTGCACTGGCATAGGGTAGAAAATAAAAAACAACAGCCTGTCTTAAGTAGGAAAGCAGATTCTAATTTAAGGATACATTCCAAACACTGTCTCTAAATGTGAATGTGGATGTTCCATATAAGTTGACCAATGGCTATTTGTTCCCACTCCTGGGTAAAGCTGACAAGTACATGAAGTAGGTACCTTGCAAAGCTAAGCAGGTAGCAGGCTGGTCAATGCCCAAGTGGAACACCTCTTGATCATTCCATGTTAGAAAGTAGGATACAAATAAAATAATAAATATTAGTCATGGTGGCTAAAGAGAACTTACCATGTTCAGACACAGTATACTTCTGAATATCACCTGCTGGGGTGCAATAACAGGGAAAGGCTTTACACGATCAACAGACTGGCCCTCGTGGGAAACAAGATGCTGAAGGAGAAGGATCATTGGTCTAGATGGCTGCTCTTAGGTTTTTAATCTTTCATTGTGAGAATTGCACAGGGCTTTGTCCACATAGGTTTCTAGCTCTGAGTTAGGAAATTGATGGGTCCTTGGAGGGGTGGAGCCTGGGGAAGGTGGGGTTGGGAGGAGGGACTTCAGCAGGGTATAAGGCCATAGAGTCCCATTTCCAAAGCAGCCATTTTCAACAGGGGAACTGATTTTTCTTGTAATTCTGTAATTCTGGGAGCTCTCTAGCCACCACCCAGAGGTCGGCAACCCTACTTCCACATTAAGGCTACTTCAAGCACAAATATCTTCCTGGCTCAAGTCATTAGGAAAGTGATCATGATAGACAGAAATGGTGGTAAAAACTGAATGCCTGGGGTGGCAGAAAGGTTGTGCTTCCTCTCAGGTTATGTTCCAGATTTTAGATTGTTTTGTTCTCCCCAACCCCCATGTCAATGAGCACCTGAGGCTAGCCCCTCATCTGTATATCCCTGCCTTTATGATGAAATCTTGGGCTTTTGTGAGAGCAAGAAGAAAAGTGGCTATGGTATAAACAACATACAATAAATGTAGATGTTGGTTGTTAGAAAATGGAATACTGACAATATAGGCAAGTTGAATAAGTTAAAGCCTATCCTTCTGCAAACTATCCTGAGTACTTTTTGCAGAAAGGCAGGATATAAATCCTACCAACCATATGAACAAATGTAAACATCCAAACGTTCTGCAGAGCAGACCTAGGCCCCAACAGTATACTAGTTACTTTGTATTATAGGTTTCTAACTATTACAGTGTATAATTGCTCAGTGCAGAAATCTTGTACATATTGTGTTCTACAATTAGGGCTGCAAAATTACCAAGCACCTGAACACTTGATCCAAGTATCTGAAATACCTTTGCCCCCCCAGTCAGAATAACGAGACAGACACCAATATGGATTTAACAAGGGCCACTTTATTAATTATTTAATAACAACAAATACTAGCAAGGGGTTACCGGAAATGTACTGAGGAATATGACAGGTGTCAAACTCCTGACCACCTTCATTTTCTTCTGGGCGATGCACCTGCTCTGATCTCAAGCCACCATAAGGTAGCTTTCGACCAGCAGCGTGGCATGTTCAAGGGAACCCCAGAAGCCGCAAAGGCCCACTAAGGTAGGCCGATCCAGATTGTTCCAAGGAAGATTACCCCTTCCCAGCCTTGAGCCGCAAAGGCCCGAAAGCCGTTCCTGGAGGACCCTTTATTTCCTTTATAACCATGCCCCGGTGCTCACCATTTCCATCCTGATCGCGCTACCCCGCCAAACACTAAAGTGACCATACTATTTAAACAACCTGGCCCAATTAAGCCAATAAACCAACACCACCATCGTCAGTGCAAGGTAGACAAAAATACCCCCATCCATAGGCCAAACAATGGAGGCGAAAAATTCCTACCTGGCTCCATGAAAAGGCAGCTGGTCAGACCTGCACTAAAATGGGGTGGGAACTAGCAAGGGGCTACCGGCAATGTACTGAGGAATATGACAGGTGTCAAACTCCTGACCACCTTCATTTCCTTCTGGACGATGCACCTGCTCTGATCTCAAGCCACCGAAGGTAGCTTTCGACCAGCAGTGTGGCATGTTCAAGGGAACCCCTGACCCACCACCCCAGAAGCCGCAAAGGCCTGCTAAGGTAGGCCGATCCAGATTGTTCCAAGGAAGATCACCCTTCCTGGCCTTGAGCCACAAAGGCCCGAAAGCCGTTCCTGGAGGACCCTTTATTTCCTTTATAACCATGCCCTGGTGCTCACCATTTCCATCCTGATCGCGCTACCCTGCCACAGCAAAGGTCAAGCCTCTGCTTAGGCCGTGGCCCCCACCATGTGATCCAGCGCCGCTAGGCCCCCCTCGCTTGAGATCTGAAAGAAAAATGTTGTTGCCCTTGTTAGAAAGATGCACCCCATCTCCCCTATACAGGTCAGGGAACTCGACCTGTATATCAGGGTGCAACAGAAAGATACCCAAACCGTCCTCCATGGCGTTCTTAAGCTGCCGGCTGGCATTCCGCCTAGCCCGGTCCAAACACCTAGGATCTCCTAGGCTGCGCCACACCTAACGCGGTAACATTGCTGACAGGACCAGTTGCACTCCAGGCCAACGGTCCGCAATGCCAGCCAAATCCACCTTGGCCTGAATGACTAGGGCCTTACCTTTCATCAGACCCAAATCATTACCACCAAGGTGTATCACCAAAGCATCAGGTGGAGGACCACGTCTTTCCCCAAATAGTAGCAGCATCAACTGAGGCCAGTGCATGCCCCTTTGGCCAAGCCACTCGACCTCTGCCCGCTCACTGCATCCCAACTGGGATTCGATGGTTGTTCTCTTGGCCCGGTGCCCGGCCCAGAACACCGTACTGTGGCCACATATTAGTTCCCGGCTCCTTCAATGGCCCCCAACAGCACCTAAAACAGAAACTAGGTTAACCATCACAAAACAAGAGCCCCAAGGCTCAAAAACAGCATGCTCCATTCCCTTTATAACAAAACTGAATGAGCAGCTCAAACTTTGCAGGTCCGGACATACGTTTTGTAACGTGCTGACCACCACTTGCCAATTCTTTGGATGTCAGGTCCCTGGTATCCCATAGCTGCAGCAGTGGAAGCCGCCCCAATTCTGAAAGACTGAGTTCCAAATTGAAAACTACCAAGGCCCAAAGCAACCAGAGCCCTCTTGGTAATTGCCCAAAATTGAAATTTAGTCAAGGGCGACCCATCCCTATGCAGAAACAGGAGACATGCACAATTCCCTCTCAGAGCCAAATAAGCCCTGAGTGACGTGACAAGACAAAGGTCCAAATCAGAACAAGGGCCAACTGTAATCACTGCCCCTTTCCCCAATTGGTCTGTCTTGGAGCGCCTGACTGTAATTTGCAGGCCATCCCCACTCATCCGGACATCACTCAGGCACAAGGCAGAACCAGACCTCTCCTGCTGAGATCGTGCCACCAACTCACTAATTCTCAAGGCCCCAAAGAATGCAACCAAGGCAGCCGCATGAAACAAGGCAGCCTCGAATACAT